AGGAGTAGTCTTTCAGGATAACATGATTTTGCTAGAGGAAGTCTTATCTAAAAGGATTAAGAGGGGTCTATCAGGATAAAAAATTGGAGTCAAAGAGGAGTTTCTAATGACTACATAAGACTTCAAGGATAACAGGAGGTATTTCTTATGATCGTGAAAATCTCCTTGGATAATATGGATCTCCATAAGGACCACTGCAGTTTAGGTGGATCACAGAAGTTATTGAGAATAACATGGCCAAAACTCCTCTGTATCTATTAGTAAAAATTCTGACATTTTCAAAAGTAAAAAAAAATGTCAATCATCCCAAATTGAAAAATTGGTTTACATATTTTTATGTATAAAATAGGCACTTGTAAACAAGTATATTGAATTTTGCTAAAGCACATGTCCCCTTCCTGACCACACAAGCTATGACTCTGTAATGATTTACATAGTTTTATCACCAATGTGTTATGGTCATTTGTAAGTGTGTGTGCTTTAGTTCCATAAAGAATGAACATACTAGAATGCTGATGACTATTTTCTAAAAATGATAATGGTGACCTTGACCCAACAAACCTGAAACTCAAGTATGTTCAAAACATTAAAGTGCTTTAAAAGTGTGTAAATTTTTCTATAAATCCTTCAAGGAGTGAAGCTGCTAGACAATAGTAAGTGACCTTGTCCCAGCAACTCTGAAACTAAAACTTATCCAAGATAATAAGAATCTCTCAAGGAATTATTCAGCTAGAGTGCTGACAATCATTTTCTAAAAATAACTACAAAGACGTTGATCTTGACCTAACAATTCTGAAACTCAATCTTCTTCAAGATATTTTGATGCTTTATAATTGTGTGAAGCTTGAAAAGAATCCTTCAAGGAATGAAGTTGCTTCGAGCACCGACAATGACTTTCTAAAAAAAGTAACAGTGACCTCAACCTTGACCCAACAACTCTGAAACTCAAATCTGTCTAAGATGTTTTGATGCTTAAAAACTAGTGTGAAGCTTGATGAGAATCCCTCAAGTAATGAAATCACTGAGAGTGCTAAAAAAAATGTCAATAATGCAAGGACAAACAGAGGAGGAAACATGTAAGTAGATTAAGAAAGTTCTGTGTTTCAACTTATTTCAATATCTGCACATATGGGCAGACCAGTAAAGGTGTATAAAGTGTATGTCCATTTTTGCCTTTGTAGATACTTGTCTTACTGGAGTAGTTTTAGAAATAATCTTTGGTTGTTTTTATGAATCTTGACAGTTACTGCTGACAGAGAACCTAGAGAAATAAATCAAAAATTCAGTTGCACTACACCTATAACTGACATCACAGAAATCATAAAATAATATTTAATTTGTCATGAAAAGCTGATCAAAGAAACTGCAAGCTAAAGAAGTCATAGAGATGTAGGTATCTTTACACATAAATCAATATTAAATTTTATACAGAAAACTTAGCTTATTGGCTAAATAAAACCATAAAAAAATCATATAGTTTCTCTCCTAAATACAAGTTCCTACTGAGTGGTAAGTGTTTATTAGATAAAGATTCCCCCAGCCATAGAATGATGCATTATATAGACTGTCAGCTAAAATTCTACCATACTCTAACCCACAGCTTTCTCTCCTAAATACAAGTTCCTACTGAGTGGTAAGTGTTTATTAGATAAAGATTCCCCCAGCCATAGAATGATGCATTATATAGACTGTCAGCTAAAATTCTACCATACTCTAACCCCACAGCTTTGAGCTTCTTAACAACACTGAGATAAAGGACCATGGCCATGTAGTACTATATATATATATATATCACTTTCAGATCAACTCACATAGGAACAACATTTGAACAAACTGAATTGTGTTCGCTGTTTTATCACCGATATGTTCATACCTGGTAATATGCTTATCTATTGCTTCTAAATAAAATTACAATCGCAATTTGTATAAAAGATTAAAAAGCAAATTTCATTTCTTCACACAAATTCATTTCTGGATATCTCTTTACTACTTAGTTATATCACATTGCATTTCACTGAAATGACGATTAAGCACTATCAACATTATTCAATGTCCATCAAAAATTGAATCAGTGCACACCAATGTTTGCCATTGGCACAGGTTTTGACAAATTTAACCCCTGTAACTTTGAATAAGAGTCAACGTCATTTCTTTTTGCACACTTTATTGGGATTCATCCTAGGAACCTATCGCCCAAATGCCTTTTGGTTAGTCAGAAGAAGTTATTTAAAAGTTTTAATCAATTCAACCACTGTGACTAGAATATGGATCAAGGTACCTTCATTTGCAAACTTTGGTTTAATCCTAGGAGCTTATCTGCCAATTATGCTTCTGTGCCTTTTGGTTAGTCACAAGAAGTCATTTAAATGTTTTAACAAATTTCCATGACCTTGAATAAGGGTCAAGGTAATAATTTCTTTTCAAAAACTGGTCAGGCTTCAACAACTCAGCAACCCACTAGCCAAATACCATGATATTTATTCTTTTGGATATTGAGAAAAAGTTGTTTAAACGGAAAAATGACGCCAGATGGACCAACAACAGACACCGCACAATTATTGACCCAACTATCTAAATACATTACTCTAGTACATAGAAGACTCAAGAGTCGAGATGGGATCACTGTAGCTCTTAGTGAAAATCATCATTAATATATATATCTACATAGGATCTTAAAGCAATTATAATTTTATAGATTCTATGAAACAAGTATAAGAAGTTTTTTTTATATATTTGTAAGTCTTGATGAATAAAACTTAATACTTTGAAATGAGTTTCATAACAAATCACATGAAGTTCAAGAAGTGAGCATTTGAGGTTCTGGTTTACCGAGCTCACCAAGTCTCGGTCAAGTCAAATGACAGTCATCACACTTGGTAATAAAACAGATAAAAAGAGTTTCTAAAGTCAGGAAAACAACTTTACTTACAGTGTTTTTATTGTGTGTGAAGATCAGTATGCGTCAAATGTTTACCTGACTGAGTAATGTAACTTTGGGAAGTATCAATAGATGCCGGACAACAACATTGTTTTCGTATATCCAAACTGAAATTATATGTGTATAGAAGGTGAGTAGTTCTCATTTTACTCTAATAAAACTATGTAAGTTCATGCGCTCTTGTTCAGTGTTCGTATGTCTCTACCACAGAGAAAACGTTCCCTTTTGGGACCTGCTGGCGACACAAAGATAACATGATTTATCAGCAGATATAGATCAGAATAGACAAATGAGAAGGGATTTGAATATATTTTTGCAAGTACCATTGGACCTGAACATGCTCTTTATAAATTTTGTTTTAGGGAAAAGATAGATGTTAAGGAGTCCTTTGGGAGAAACAGTCTCTTTCCAAATCTGACGAAGCTGGCTATAGCCTGTCTGTAGTGCTGATGCCAAGAGACTAACTCCACGTTAAAAAAAGTGCAAACTTTGTTTCATTCAGAACTTGGACCAGATACAATATGTTCAATATTATGTATAAAAGCAAATACTGACTACTACTCTCCATCTAAGATGTTCTGGCTGCAGGTCTAAGTGGATTTGTGATGGTAATTTGGTTTCATTCCACAGTAAGGCCCCTTCATGCACTTGCATCCAGGCCAACGAGTAAAGACTATAATCCTCAGTGATTTAAGCATACAAATTTCAGAATAATAAAATCTTACATGGGTCTGATTATTTTTCTCACATACTTAAAATAAAAACAGTAACACATTTTAAGTTTATCTGATATCTATTTATAGAGCCACCATTAATGTCCCATAAAATGTGGGTCGAAATCGATGGCATTACCAATTTGAGACAGGATTACACTACATAAAATAATGGCACTACCCTATTGAGTCTAATTTCATAGTGTGTGCCAGCAACTGTAGGACCACCCTGTGAAGTAATGTGAGAAAGTTCTATCCTGTAGTGTCTGAAAAATATTGATAAACCTTTAATTACAGATGGATGGACGGATGGAATATGATACAGACTGAAAAAGAACCAAATTTGAATTAGAAAGTTCACTATCTGAAGACAGAAAATAAAAATAAGAAACTTATCAATACAGGTTCAATGATCACCTGTCAGCTATTTGTACAGAAGGTTGGAGGGTCATAGATAATAGATATATAAAGTAATCTAACGTAGATATAGTGTACATTTCTACCAAGTAAGTGTATCTTACACCAACACCTAGTTTCCATATATAACAATACATTGGCGGTAGCATAGATACAAGGAGAGAGCCAACACCATTGCTATAATAATGCTTTCGTTGGTTTCTGATATCCCTTTGCATAAGGGTCCACTGTAGTAGGACAAATCAAAAAAGGCAATCAATCTGAACAAGCTTGGGATAAGTTGATTCTTCTTTCTTGGTATGTTGACAAGTTTCGTGGCTTCTTCAATACAAAATATCATAAAGGATATTTGTATATATATAGTGACATCATTTACAGTAAGTATGACATCATAAACAATAAGTTGTATTGTGATGTCATCAGTAGCTAAATAAAGATAGATATTCTCTGTTAAGACAACATCAACACATACCTAAAAACAACAGAAATATGTATACAGTTGAAACTCATTATGTCGAAATTCAAGGGACAGTCAAAATATTTCGACTTATCTGAATTTCGACTCAAACAAAATGTCCAAATAAGGTTAACAGTATCAGTTTCCTGATGTTGATTACGGTTGAATGAAGTACAGGCTACGATAGCACAGTACATCGTAGTACAAACAGAGTAATTTTATCTGTTATTTGAAATGGCAGTAAATAAAGAGAAACAAATAGCTAGAACTGTTTGGCTTAATTACAGATAAATGCTGTTTTATCGTCCTTTAATAAGTCCACCCCATGACACTAAGCCAGAATTAATCTATTGGCTCTTTGGTTTACATGTGGGATAAATACAGTATAGCCACCATATGTATATATATATGTGTGTGTGTATTTGTCTTTTATTAAAATTTCTCAGGTATTTTGTTAAAACTGAAACAAACTTACCGATCATGTGGAGGACTTCTAGTGAGGACAAACAGCTGTAGATTCGGCGCATAAATCCCTCCAGGAAAATCACTTCCGAAAGACACAGGCATAGACTTCGCAAGTTACAGGGAAAGGCGTTGAGATCATTGAAGTCGTGCAATTGCATAGCATTGGAAAAGTCTAGGGTCATGTAATTTAAGTTTGGACACTTGTTGGCTAGCTCATGTAGTATTGGAGCTGTGATTAATTCACATGGGAGTTCTATGTACTTCATTGTGGCACCGAAACGTATTCCAATGAGGGATAAAAGAAGGTCTATGTTAGTAACATGTAATCCCGAGTATTCCGGACGAAGTGATACTACATGCCACAAGCGACTGTCGTAAGCCAACATACGCCATTTCTTACACACCTGTGCTACGTAACTTAACTCTGGATGCTTCAGGTACGAAAATACTTTCAGCAGTAGCTTTTCTGGAATCTTCTGAATAGTACATGTCTGAAATGAAACAAAGAATATATGTTGATTAAAACCATTCAGATAATAACAATATCTATAGACACAGCCATCCTTAATGTCTGTCCTCTACACCTGGGAGTCTGAAATAAAACATTTTGTGAAATGGTGTTATTGGTTGTGGCCACTGATCATGGTTGAACTACAAGTTACAACAAATAGGTCATAATTACTTGTACATCATGAACTCAATCCGATATATTTTAATACTTATCAGTGTGATAGTGTACTTCACAAACAAACATGTGGTCTAATTGCCCCCAACTCAGTCTATAAAAACAACCATACTTAACTAAAGAGCAAGAAAAGCTTTGACATCAAAACTTTCTACGATCATGTTAATCAGCCATTCTCTTTCTATAATCATGTTAATCAGCCATTCTCTTTCTACAATCATGGTAATCATGCCGTTTTCTTTCTACAATCATGGTAATCAGCCATTCTCTTTCTAAGCTCAGGATACTCAGCCATTCTCTTTCTAAGCTCAGGATACTCAGCTATTCTCTTTCTAAGCTCAGGATACTCAGCCATTCTCTTTCTGAATTTCACACATATAACTCAGAATAATTAAAGGAACCATCATTAGAAATCGGGAGTATTTTCTGAAAATTGAAATAACATCTTTAAAATGTCAAAATCAAAGAATTGGTTTTCTGATCAATCAAAATTGCAAGGTTTATATGAAATTTCAAGATAGGGATAAGGACATTTGTGTTAAAGACAGGTGGAAAGATGACTAACGAAGACTGGTTTGAACGGTCAATATAAGTTGTTACCAAATATAAACATACTTATTTTGGTGCAATCAAATTTTAGCACAATATCAATTTTGAACAACTAAGTGCAGTAATGAAGTCACCCAATAATTAATTACTAAACTAATGACATTTATCAACTGCAATTAGTTAAATAATCATTTAGTGTTATACCCTTAAAAAAGTGGTAAAATAGATTAGCACAGAGATATGTATGTATGATGGCATGTTCTCCTGATGAATAATCATTATCTGATCCATCTGCAATCATGTACCAATAAATGATAAGAAAACTATGTCCTTTATCAACAAGGATCAGTATGATAAAGTGTAAGACTTTGCTATATCTTATCTGTCTTGTTAAATCTCCCTAAATCAATGTTCACTTGTCACAGATCACTTCAATAAAAGGTTAGGTACATAACTTTCTGGCGCCCCTTGTTCATAACATCAAATATGTGCATATCCAGATACCAGATAGTTTTCAAAAACACATTTCAAAAGGATAAAAAACAATCTAGAAGTCATCAATATTTAATAGGATGCTACATTGATTCTGTAGGAGGAGATTTGATTTTTAAATCTATTGCCTCCCACAATGTCAGATCTGCTGTATAGCTAACTGTCACAGGCTGCAGTGGTATCTAAATATCTAAAACCATAAATGATAGGATTTGTAACAAAAAATACAAGTATGTTTCTTGTCATATGAAATGGAACAACCGTATGAAATATTTTGTTACCTGGCAGTGAATCCATACCTGGGCCATCTATACCTAGTATATTGTTAGTTAAGTAAAACCATTAATAATTAACTGATAATGCTTTTTCATTGTCCTGTAATAAGACCAGATCGTTAAATTACTGTAAATAAGAGGTAAAGTCTTAGACCCCTGGGGTCCTGTAATAATTCCACACCCTTCCATTTAGTAAGAAGTGGTATATTGGACCCCGGGGTCCTATAATAAGTCCACCCCCTTATATTTAGTAAGAAGTGCTGTATGGGACCCCTGGTGTCCTATGAAAAGCCCACTCTCTAACATTTAGTTAGAAGTGATGAATTCGACCCCTTGGGTCCCATAATAAGCCCACCCCCTCACATTTAGTTAGAAGTGATGAATTCGACCCCTAGGGTCCTATAATAAGTCCACCCCCTTACATTTTAGTAAGAGGTGATATATTGGACCCCTGGGGTCCTATAATAAGTCAACCCCCTTATGTTCAGTAAGAAGTGATACATTGGACCCCTGGGGTCCTATAATAAGCCAACCCCCTTACATTTAGTAAGAGGTGATATATTGGACCCCTGGGGTCCTATAAATCCACCCCCTAACATTTAATAAGAAGTGATATATTGGACCCCTGGGGTCCTATAAGCCCACCCCCTTACATTTAGTAAGAGGTGATGTATTGGACCCCTGGGGTCCTATAATAAGCCCACCCCCTTACATTTAGTAAGAGGTGTTATATTGGACACCTGGGGTCCTATAATATGTTCAGTAAGAGGTGATATATTGGACCCCTAGGGTCCTATAATAAGCCAACCCCCTTACATTTAGTAAGAGGTGATATATTGGACCCCTGGGGTCCTATAAGTCCACCCCCTAACATTTAATAAGAAGTGATACATTGGACCCCTTGGGTCCTATAAGCCCACCCCTTTACATTTAGTAAGAGGTGATATATTGGACCCCTGGGGTCCTATAAGCCCACCCCCTTACATTTAGTAAGAGGTGATATATTGGACCCCTGGGGTCCTATAAGTCCACCCCCTAACATTTAATAAGAAGTGATATATTGGACCCCTGGGGTCCTATAAGCCCACCCCCTTACATTTAGTAAGAGGTGATGTATTGGACCCCTGGGGTCCTATAATAAGTCCACCCCCTAACATTTAGTAAGAAGTGATATATTGGACACCTGGGGTCCTATAATATGTTCAGTAAGAAGTGATATATTGGACCCTAGTGTCCTATAATAAGTCCACCCCCTTATGTTCAGTAAGAAGTGATATATTGGTCCTATAATAAGCCCACCCCCTTACATTTAGTAAGAGGTGATATATTGGACCCCTGGTGTCCTATAATAAGCCCACCTCCTTACGTTTAGTAAGAAGTGATATATTGGACCCCTGGTGTCCTATAATAAGCCCACCTCCTTACGTTTAGTAAGAAGTGATATATTGGACCCTGGGGTCCTATAATGCATCCATCTCCTTGTTGCAGAATAAATTCAGTACAATCGATCACTAAGATTTTTATCCTTTTTAATGGGAGACAAACAATGATGGATAATAATGAATGAAATCGTCATTAAAATATGGATAAAAAATCTTCAGCTCTAACTGTAAAATTTGATACATTACATAATCTTATAGCTATGTAAGTTAGAATAATAACAAAGTGTGAGATACTATTTTTCTAAAAGCAGGAAAGCACAGTAATCAAACATATACAGAACTTAACAGCTATGGAATGTTTGCATGATTTGGTCGCTAATAATACCCCACATAGTTACATAGTAACACATACACTGATACAGTTAAGTATCCAAGGCAACCTGCCATCAGTTACTATGGCAGTATAGTCAGCATCATTACCATCCTACAGGTAATCAGGCCTACCAAAGCTGTCTACTATATCTAACAGTCCAGTTAGATGGGATGAAAGTGAAAATGTACTTTATGAGTTACTTGTAATCTTGAGAGATAAGATAGGCTGAAGATCTCTTAGAATTTTCTCACTGAGCTCTGGTGTTCTTTTTCATTGGGAGTTCATCATCTTTAGTATTCTATAACACTTCAGGCAATCTGTTACAGTAAATGTCCTAAACTTTTGATGGTATATGTTATTTGGTATATGTCAGCATTTCCCATTATTGAGACATCATGGCATCACACCTTTGGTAATCAGTTACAATAAATATCCTAAAGTTTTGAAGATATTTATAATGTTTGGTTGGATTAAGTTTTGTCAGCACTTTACAGCATTTAGAAATCCTCCTCCTCAGTATTCAAGTATCACACCTCTAACAGAACTGGCCAATCAGTTTACATTTGATGAACTGTTACAGTAAATATCCTGAACATTTGAAGGTATACAGGTTTAACCATGTAGATGATATAATGTGGACAAAATGTTCAAGATAAGGTTAGGAAGCCTTGTTTCACCCACTGCACACCTGTATTCAGTAAATATAAACGTGACTGTGTGGTTCTTGCTACTAACTAAACAAGCGTCAATAGAAACCATCAGTGTGGACCAGGTTGATCAGGTCACAGTAAAGGTCATACCCATCAGAGTAAATACCTTGTAATCACATACAGCCCGTGTGATAGTTAGCCATAATTATTGTATATAGTGTACCCATGGATACATACCAAACAAACGGGTGTGGCACAGATCTAGAGTCAGGAGGCACTACTGATCAGTCTACCATCACATGGATTATCACTGTTCCATTTCATCATCGTATGGATCATAGTCTATCAGTAATAGGTCATCAGTCAATCAAAGTTGTTTCAACACATCTCTACTTTTTTTAAGGCAAATTTTATCAGCTTTTATTTTATCTGGCTACGTTCAATTAAATCTGCAGTACGGCTAATTTAGAGCACTAGGTAAATTAACTGAAAAGGGTTGATAAGGGGTTCATTTTCAAACCTTTTGTATTACAATGATACCAAAAGACAGGAAGAATATTGCCTGTCTAATTTCAAAGTAACATACATTTTTATATCCAATTAAAAAAATTCATAAACAGTAATCCTAATCCTCCAATCAAAATGTTACTTAGGAAAACATCTACATTGTCAAGGTAACAAAATCTACCAAATATAAATGATATCAGTCTCTGAATAAGATTCCAAAACCTTGAAAAGACAAACGGCAACATACATACTAACGCAATTCAAGAAAAAAAAATACTGCATGTGATGATGATGATATAGAGTTCCAAATGATTGGTTAAAATTGAGATGGGAGATTTCTGATCATATGATCACAGATATTATATCAAAGCCATATTTAACAACTGAACTGCTTTTAGTTGGCATTTATAGGCTTTTGATTGCCAACAATATGAAGTTGATGTTCTCTAAAACTCTACCTAAGGCTGTGAACTCTGTACCAAAATCAAGTCTATGCATGGTCTCCTTAGATAGCTGTACCGAAGTCTGTGTATTCCATAACTCTGTGCCAGAGACTGTGTTAACAATTACCAAAGGCA